AAAGTTTATCAGTAAACTTTGAGTATGGCAGGGAGTCTGCCCTTCCCACCTCCCAGCTCCAGAGCAGAGAATACTCTGCTGCAAGCTCATCCCACAGCCTTGGCTGGGAGCTCAGGCTGCTCTTTGGGTCCTTTGCTGTATTTTCAGATAATTTTACACTGCTGGTGTGAGGCCTGTAGAGAGCAACGAACGCCTGAATTCCTCATGTCACCTGCCAGCACCAAGTAAATAAAGCAGGCTGTGAAGGACCTTAGTGGAGATAAGAATTGTTTTCTCTGAGCTTTCTCACGGCTTCTCAGGAAAATCCTGGAAGAGAATTAAGTCTCTCTCTGTTCAGAGAATATGTGTATACTACAGTCCTTCACATACATGATGTATGTCAACTAAAATGCAAAAGCAGATGTATTAATTACCAATACATGATATACATCAAGTGTTAGCATCAGCTGAAATGCTAATGCTGATGTATCAATAACCAACAGCTTGAAGCTGTGTTCTGCTTTTATGAGAGCAGTCCCTGCCTGCTTGAGTGGATCCTGCCTCTGCCTCTCATAAAGAAGACACAATTTATCATTTTCTACTTTCAGATAATAGCCATGATATGACTTTTCAGGTTTTGTTTCATTCATAAATTTCTTCAGGCTTCCCATACATATGAAAAGTGGGAGGAGGAAGGATCTGCTCAGTTTCTCTAAAATGGAAATTCTTTACAGATACAAAGATGAAATCAATGTCTGACTCAGTAGCACTATGAATTGACACCAGATGAGGATGGGGTGGCCTATCTCACAGCCTTGCTAAAGCAATATCACAACAATCAAGAAAGAGAAAGCTAACAAACTGTGATAAGGAAGGAAATCTCAGGCATCAGGTTAAAGAATTCTTTGGTTCCCCTTTGATTTTTTTCAGAATCCAACTACTTCCAGGGACAGCTGGCACACAGGGATGGGAGTTACCAATGTGATCTAAGGCTGCCATTCTCTTTCACATCAAAACATAAGAGGTCAGAGAGGCCATTAATGATATTTTGATTTAAAAGAAAATAAATGCAGGCAAAAAAAGCATAATTAAGGCTGTAGACTTTCACCATGAATAACATATTTAACCATTTTATATTAATTTGCAATGCACTTCTAAGCTTCTCACAGGAGAAATTCAAATGCCTAAGTCATCACATAGCATCATATCATCTACTGATAACCTGTCTAACCCAGCTTTGTTTCTACTGACACTTCCTTCCTCTGCCACATGTTCCACATTGAAAGTCTTTCAACGGGCAGTGTGATGTGTCTAACTTTCAGAATGGGAGCCAAAAAACCTTTATTTCTGTTCTGTGTGATCCCAAGCACATAAACCAAGTCCTGTGTTTCTGAGAAAGGACAGGATTCCCATGCCAATACAATAGGCTGCATTTATATACACCACATTTAACTCAAAGGGCCTGTAGACAACAGCCAAAAGCTATCCAGGATTGCCAGTGCTGTGCACTGTAGCTAAACTGGTCTGCAATAACAAAGACAGATCCCAAGTCCTTCTCCTAAAGAGGCCTCTACATTTTGAGGGAAATTTAATCTCTTTTGAAATGAATAGCAATAACTTGTATTGCTAACACTGACCAATGGTCCCTTCTGGTCTGCCTCGGGGAAGATAAATTCACAACAGTTCATTACACTGCACAGATGAGGAAACTGAGATACAGGTGCTCCAGAATGTCCTTTGAGATGTACTCAGAGGTGAAGAATAAAAAAAATCTGTAATTAACCCACAAATAATGATGTTATCCCATTCTAGTTACTGTGAGAGACATAGGAACAAGTCACTCCAATATGCAACAATTCCAATTCCAGTGACCACAGGCATCCCTTGGTGGAAAAGTCATCTGCAATCCACTGCCACGAGAAAAGAAATACCCCAGTTTTGTTCTCACTGAGATGAGTGAAAAAACTGCCTGGGAATAGTACCACAGGAGAATGAGAATTGAGGTCTTAGAGGAAAAAGACATCCAGGGACACGATTATCTTTTTGTTTCACATTTGTACAGTACCTAGGGCAGATTCTGAACATAATATCCTTGACTTTAACACACAGCCATGGCAGAGATGCTGCTCTGAAGAGATAATTTCTCTTCTGAGGGTTCCCAGCACACAGCTCTGCAGGCAGAACAGAACCAGCCAGCATTCTGGACACAAAGCCCAAACACTAAAGGTGAAATGAGGTAAGAGAAGGTTTGCAGTGAGCTGCCTGGCTTCCTGCTGAAAAAGGTGAGAAGTGCTCACAGGTTCTTCTCCTTCAGCAATGCTTTAGAAATAGAAACTGCCAGGACAGAACCAGTTACAACCAAAGCAGAGACACTGGAAGCAGCAAAGCACCAAAGAGCCAAAGCAAAGGCTTGCTTTTGTTTAGAGCCCTTTCTGTTAGCTGAGTCATATCAGACACAGCCCCTGTGGAGATCAGCAGAAGTCATAGGAGCACCAATCAACATTCACAGTGTGACTAAACCACACCACAGCACTTTCTTCATAATCCTTATCAGTTAATAAGATTTAATGAAAAAACAACTACATAGGTACAAGCAGAGGGAAAAAGCCCAACCAGGTGGCCATTCTAGTTAAGCACAGCTATCTGTACTGATGGATCAACTAGTGATTGATAATGAGACGGGAAAACTGGATTAAATAGATTAAATCTTTGCCATGATCCTAATCTGAAGACCACAAAGGAGTCAGGGATCCAGCTCCCAGTAACTCTGAATGGTCTGTGCTGTGCTGCAGGTGGATCCTGGCTGTCTGGCCTGTGGTGGGATGCACATACCTCTAGGATGCAGGAGCAACTTGCTCATAACCTGACATTAAACCACCTGTCCATCTTTGTCTTCATCTAAATGTAGCAACAAGCTCTCTTGTGAACACCCTTTTCACCTGGCAGTAGGAGTGATGAATGGAAATGTCTTTAGAAATAAAAAGAAAATGCTCTGAGAGTTGAAGAGATCGAACTGTAAGAGAACCTTTCCACAGACAGCTCTGCATGGTGTGCTGTGTCAGACTGGAGGGCTCCTCCACGTCAGACACTTTGGGGTTTCTGGGATCTGATGGAATGTAAGATAATTTATACTCTCCTCTTTTTTTTTCTTTTTTTTTTTTTTCTTTTTTAATGCAATGCTACCTCTAGCAAATGGTGTTTTAAGCAATAATCTAAAGAGTCCAAGTTTCTCACTGGGATAACAAAACTGAACTTCCTGGTGCAAAATATTCTTAAAAGGATGGATGTACACTCAGCAGTGGAAAGAAAGCGGTGACCAAGCTTGGCTTGCCCTATGTTTCCTTGCAAAATTCTTACTTATTACTATGACTACTAAATAATTAATATTTACACTGCATATTCATTATTTGCTACTGAAAATGCAGCACAACAAATAACTGGTACTGCCCTCTGCACAGCTGACTCCATGCTGTGACATGTTATTCAGATAACACTGAAGAGAACAGGAAGGTCTGTGTGCTCAGCTAATTACCTGACTGGACAACTGCTCCAGGTCCTGCCCTATCAGATTTTTACCCAGTCCATGTGTCTTAGATGAAATCATCTGTGTAGATGTGCATGTGCTGAGACAAGTAAGTTAAACTACCACCTCTGTGTAGACATTCTTTGTTCTTGAGGATTAGCTGGGTTACACGTTAATGTGGGTTTTTTCAAAGAGGAAATTAGTCTAGTAGAGAAGAAAGAAAAGCTGCCTTAAACAGTGCATGCTACATCTCACATTGCTGGCAGAGATGTCTGCAGAGTTATATTGTTCAAATTAAATCTTTTAAATATTTAACACTCTTTCCCAGAATGAAGTGCAAGCCAAATAATGGCTAGCTGCAGTTAAATCCAGATGACAGACCTCCAGGGGCTAAATTCAACTCTAGAGCCTCCTAAAATCATATCTGACACTTAATGTCTTACTGATACAGAGACATAACTAAGATGAAGGTGAGTTTTCCTTTTGCTATTTCATCTTGTAAGGCAAAAGAGACCTTGAAAATGCTTTTCTGGAAGCATGCTGATAGTGCAACATCATGGCACGTTTCTTTCAGACAAAGAAAGTGACAGGCCCTCACAGACGCTCTAAAATAACTCAAGAGCACAACAGATGTCCTCCTGAATCTGCAGGAGAGGCATCTGTATGCATGTGGTGGAGAAAACTGGCAAATTATTGATCTGATGCCATCTATTAGCTTTCCCCAGTCACATTTCCAGAAGGAAGATCAGCCGTCCTGCTGCCCCACCTTAAGACTGTAACCTCCCTCCTCCAGGAATTTTCCAAATCACATCAAAAAATGCCTTTTTCTCCCTAAACCTCTTCTCAGATGGGGCAGATAAATATACACCTCGAGCTTGCTCCGTTTCCCCCTGTTGCCTGGGAAGAATTTCCAGGGAATTTTTACATGTATTCCCACCTAGAGCAGTATCAGCCATGGAAAAGCTGTAGGACAAGCGCAAAGAGACACACGCTTCTTCTCGCAGCCTGGCAGGTTAAAGGGAGAGCGAGACCGTCTTTTGGAAGGATGGCCGGCGAGTCGCAAAAAGGAATATTTGGTTGTTTGTTTTTTTTTGCAAAACGGACCGAAGAAAGCGGCGGCGGCGGCCGGGAGACCCCGCGGCCGCCTCTCCCACGCCCCCTCGCGAGCCCCCAGCCGCGCCGAGCCCGGTAACAAAGCACCGAATCCATGCCCATCTCCCCACCCGTGGATGCTCCGGACCCCGAGCCCGGAGCGATGCCACCCGCTCTCTTTCTCCCCTGTCACCTTGCTCTGTGCAGCGCTTCACCCTCCACCCCCCGCCGGTGATTTTCTCATGCTGGAAAACCCCACCTGACCCACGTACCTCCCGCCTCACCCGCCGGGCGCCCCGGCCCCGACAACAACCCGCTAAAATTAGCCCAGCATCCAGAGCAGGGACGGGCGCCGCGCACACACACTCGCGGGCACACGCGGCCGGCCCCAGCGGCAGCTACTCACACCACGAGCCTGGAGATGATCCATGAGACCATGGCGCTGCCGTGTGCCGCAGGGCCGGCTCTCCCGGCAGGGAGGGCTCGCCCGGTGTCCTCGCCCGCTGCCGGCCGCCGCCCGAGTGCGCGGGGCGGGCGGCTCGGCCATCCGGCCCCGCAGCGCAGCGCAGCCTCACTGGCGGCACCGCCCGCAGCCTCCGCGCAGCCCGGCCCGGCCGCCCACGCTGGGCAGGGCCCGCAGCCGCCCCCCGCGGGAGGAGGAGGAGCAGGAGGAGCCCCCCACGCTCCCCGCTCCCGCAGGACTCCCCAGAGGGAGACCCCGGAGTGTGCGTGCAGAAGGGGTCCCTGCCACAGACGCGGCACCCGGCAGGTGCAAGGGCGCTTCTGGAGCACCGCAGCCGAGCAGGGACACGGAGGAAACCCAAGGGACTGTTCACATGAAAGGCTCGGAATCGAGGGGTGTCTTCGAGCCATAGAAAAAGAAGGATTTCCCCGTTTTCCCCCACCCCCCAAAGTGTCCAGGCACAACGGACAAAGGTATCGGCCACAGGATCCAGGTAAATTCCTGTTAGAATTAAAAATGAAATATGCCCAATTCTAATAAAAATAAAAAGAATGTATTTCGCGACCGTACTCCAAAGGCATTGGCCACAGGATCCAGGTAAATTCCTGTTAGAATTAAAAATGAAATATGCCCAATTCTAATAAAAATAAAAAGAATGTCCTTCGCGACCGTACTCCAAAGGCATTGGCCACAGGATCCAGGTAAATTCCTGTTAGATTTAAAAATGAACTATGCCCAATTCTAATAAAAATGAAAATAATCTATTTTGCGACCGTAATACAAGGATCCAGGTAAATTCCTGTTATAAGTAAAAATGAAATATGCCCAATTCTAATAAAAACAAAAAGAATTTATTTCGTGACTGTAATACAAAGGTATTGGCCGCAGGATCCAGGTGAATTCCTGTTAGATTTAAAAATGAAATATGCCCAATTCTCATTAAAAAAAAAAAAATTATTTTGCGACCGTATTACAAAGGTATTGGCCACAGGATCCAGGTAAATTTCTAAGTAAAAATGAAATATGCCCAATTCTAATAAAATAAAAATAATGTATTTCACGACCATAATACGAAGGTATTGGCCACAGGATCCAGGTAAATTTCTAAGTAAAAATGAAATATGCCCAATTCTAATAAAATAAAAATAATGTATTTCACGACCATAATACGAAGGTATTGGCCACAGGATCCAGGTAAATTCCCATCATTGTCTATGATGACAAGTAGGAATCTCTCCTCTACATCACTTTTCATTAACAGGTCTCACGGCTGTCAAGTCAAATTTCCATGAGGAACAGCTGCCCACACACAAAACAACATACGTTGGCTTGACCTGCAAGTTGTTCTCTTTAAGTTTCATTTGGGTTCTTTTCTTTTCTTTCACTGGCACGTGCCAAATGTGGTTAGATTGCCTGGAATCATCTCCCCTGCTTTGGTTTTCCCCTTCTACTGGAAGCACATGTGCCCATGGCAATTCATGATGAGGTTTTGTCTTGCAGGAATCCTGAGATCTCAAGCTTGCCACCAGAGCAGCCCCAGGCTTTACTTGGAGGATGGTCTGGGGAGCAGCTGGCCTGTTTCTGGCATTAGGTCTAGGGCGCCAGCCACCCTGTCCCTGGGGGCACTGCAGGATCCTCACCTCCATGCCACACTGCTCTTTCTGAAGTCTGGGCATCTGCAGCAAAGTGTCCCCATCATTCTGAGACAGCACAGCTGAAAGATGCTGAAAATCTCTCATGCATTGTGAGTAACCTGGGAAGAACTCTTGCAAGGAGAGACTGAACGTTTCAAACCAGAGGCAGCAGTTCTAGGAGCTGATCACAGACTTCTCCAGTCCCAGGTTACCACAGACATCCTCACAGCCCCATCCACAGTATCCAGCCCTTCTCATAGAATGGTTTGGTTGAAAGAGAACTTAAAGGTCATCTCATTCCAACTCCCTGCCATGGGCAAGAACACCTCCCACTAGATCAGGTACCCATCCAGCTTGACCTTACACCTCACTTTTCTTCTGCTTAGATCAAAAGTCCTCCATAACAGGATCACCCTTTTTTTTTAATATTGGCTTTCTGGATCTGGTCCCCAGAAAACCAATACGTCGAGGGACAGACAGACCAAAAACCCACTGCCTTCAGGTAAAGCTGCAGGCACAGAGAGACACGTAATTAAAGTCATTAAAGTTGAGCACCTCCAGAAATTGAATTTCGGGGGAGCTGCGCTGCGCTGGCCGCAGTGGGTCTGTTCCTCCAGCAGAGGGAACTTCCACCCCGCGCTGCGCCCTGAGCCCGCACCTCCGCACCGCCACAGCCGCAATTCTGCTCCCAGCGCCGCAGTTCTGGGCTACACACGGCTGCGAGCCACACATGCAGGTGTGGGGCCACCACACGCTCTTTCCTCACGGACTCTAAGGGTGGAGAGCGGCAGCGTCGCTCCAGCCAGCACTGACTGCTGTGCAGGCACCACAAAGGCAGGGCTGGGTGTGAGTGCTGCAGTAAGAAGTGTAAATTAGCCGTCCTCTCCAGGCGTGCTTGCTCTAAGTGAGAGCTGCCTTCTCTCCAAAAGAAGGCATTAGGTCATCCAGCCCAAATTCTTAAAGCAGTGAATCATCCTGTGGCTGTCTTGCTTGTATATCGTAGCCAAATAAGTACTTGGAAGTCTGCTATCAGAGATTTTTCCTGTGTCAGGACTATTTAGTGTGAGCTTTTAGACTGCACATTGGCAGACAATCCACAACATTGTTACAATTAATGATGGGATATTATCAAGTACAAGGCACAGATCTCTCTGCAAGAATATTTGTGTTATCACCAAAGTACACAAAACTTGCCACTTAGTATTTGCTGCATATTTCAAGCATAGTACTTGCTGCATATTTCCTGGACCAACAAGAGAAGATATTGGATCAAAAAGACAGATAATACAGAGGACAACACCTAAAGCTGCAGCAAAACATTTCAGTGCTCAAATCATAACTCAGCCTCATGTCCTCTTGAGTCCCTCCCATGCTGAGCTAAGAATCATCTCAGAGACCGACTCAGTGAGGTGGGTATTTGGGGATCTCTCCTCCCAACAAGCACATCACAGCACAATTTATAGATAAATTTCATGCATATTCATTACATTCCTTGGGATAGGAGTGCTTATACAAATTACTTCCCAGAAATCATTAACAGCATCAGCATACGTAACACACAAGTGCAGTGTACTCTGATGGTTGCACTGACGAAGGCTGGCAGTCTTCCTCATTCTGCCCTTTTCACCTTTCTTTTTGAAGCATGCACAGTCCTTCGATGGCTGGCTCAGCATTTTCTGCTGACAATAGGTTTTCTTTCTCTTATCTTGGCAAGGTGCATTCTGCTTCTCTTATCTTGACAAGGCTAAGGTGCATCCTTGCTTCTTAGGCTTGTGATTAGGATTTGTTGACTCAATAGTTAACTCATGTAAGCATGAGTAATCAACTTCTTTCACTCTTGCCTCCTTCCAGCCTCTTCCAGCTCACCATGTTCACTGCAACTCCTGCCAGCTGCCATTGCTGCTGACCCCACTGCTCTTTTCTGGGCAGCAAACCTCAAAAACGTTAGAGGATTTTTTTTTTTTTTTTTTTGTGGCTGGCAGCATCTCTGACAGGGGTAAGCAGCTCATGGACCCTTCTTGTGCTGTTGCTTTTTACACAACTGGCACAATCACTACCTGATCTTAAGCCTCAAATGTACACAGACAGTTAACAAGGTAGTCTGGTGATGGCTTAAGGAAATGCCCGGAGCTTTACTGAAACAGCTGTTTGGTAAACAGAAGGGGAAGGAAAGACACTCAGCTCCACTGAGTCACCAGTGGAAGGGTGACAATGCCCCCTACCTACTCCTCATGGGCTGTGTCTTAGGACAAGTCACACAGCTCTGTGCCTATGAGCTCTGCATGTGACATCCCAAGCATCCTGGAAAGAGGCTTTGCTTGAAGAAAGTCTTCCTTAAACTACCTCATCCAGTCTATAAAAAACCAAACCAAACTGAACAAACAAAAAGACTCCCAAAAAACAGAAGAGTTAAAGCATAGGAACAGATATTAATTAATTTATACAGCCAGCTCAGCAGAAATGCCATCCAATGCTCATGGAACATTTTGGAACTGCTTTAGCAGTAGGTTTGGCAGTGAAAAATCCTACACAGATTGCACCATTAGATGGTCTGATTTCTGTTTCCCAAATTATAAAACAAATCAGCTTTGTCACTGAAGGCAGAGCCACCACCCTTGCTGTAAATACTACACAGTCTTCTCCTAGCAACTGCTGTTTCTGAGAAGTTCACAGCCATGGAAAAGTCAGACCCCCCAACAGCTCTACTATAATCAGACTCATTCCTCTCTGAGCCAGGGAAAGGGGATCTCTGCCTCACAGCTGAACAACAACTGCCAAGCCAGGGCTTCTTAGAACAAAAGCGTCACTGACACACATGCACAGGGCACTCTGTTACCAAATCCAGAAAAGGTCAGGAAGCAGCAAGTGCAGACAACTCTGATGTCCTCCAACAAATCAAACTTACACCAGAGGCATTAAGAACAGCTGAAGTGCAGACAACCCAGCCAAGAAATGTACCCAGGAATAGAGAAAAATATCAGAGAAAACCTCTGATAGTTGGGTGCTGAAGTTCATGTGGCAAAACCAAAAAATGATTATAAAAAGAAATAAACTACACATAACCATAGTGCACACATATATAATACAGTGTTATTACAGCACCTAAAAAGTCTCAGGAGAAGAAAGATAGTTTGAATAAATAGTCTGCATCCCATCAAGGAAAGCACACACACACACACACACACACACCCACACGCATAGGGAAATATATTCAGCCTCTTGAAAGATAAATGTTTGGTGTTCCACCCACTGGAATAGAATGGGTGATTTCTCACATTTATCTCCTGACTTCTACTTGGAAAGCAAAACAAAAGAATAGTCCATGGGATAACATGGACTATTAGAGCAAAAATCCAAGAAGAATGCAGCTCCTGAAGTGATTAATGCATCCTGAAGTGATGAAAAATGCCCCTTTCTGAAATGACAGCTTTACTAACAAATATGGAGTAGACAGGAAAAGGTTAATCCTACCCATGGGGGAGAATTGTTACAGCATGGGGAGACATTCAGCATTTCCTGGCTGCTATTTCCAT